CACTCTGCGTCTCGCTTCAACATGGCTCGTTGAAAGAAGCGGTTTGAACACTGTTTTACTCACTGTCTGAGCAACTTGTTTAGCCGCCATCTTGAAAGTACGCACCTAGAAGAGGATCACGGGAATATTGATCATCACCTCGTGCCAGTCTCTCTAGTCTGATCGCTTGCCTTGCTTTCCAATGTTTTTGTTTATTTTGTGTTTGTTTGTTTGTTTGTGTTATTTTTGTATTTTTGTTTGCTTTTTATTTCATTTACTTTTTAATTTGTTATTTGGTCCACCAATCCCTATTGAAGGGCGTGCTCATAGAGCACCCGGGAGAGTAGTTCGTTAGACCAATAAAAAGACAAGAGTTCATTTATTTCATAAGTAGGTTGAGTTTGATCGTCCGGGTGAACGTAGTCCTGAGTAGGACTGTTGTTGTTGACAGTGATTGAAATGACTCCTGGATTCAAACCTTTCACAGTTCATTTATTCCCAACCTTTTTTTGTCGGTCTAGGAGGGCAAAATTAGGACAAAAGGAGCGAGAAATTAATTTAACGGTCAGATGTAAGTCTGTCCCGCCTGGCTTTCATGATCAGTTAGAGGGAGGAAAAGAGAGCGAGAGAGAATCTAAAGCAAAAAATGTAGCAAAGTTTGCATCGTCAGTTTCTTTTAGAACTTTTTTGGACGGCCGGGGTCACCAATAGTATAAGCCCACTCCTGAGAATACGGTACAGATGTCCTTGTTTCCCACCAAACCTCCCGGAAAAGGTTGTATTTGAGCTGTGCCTTTTATATAGTTTGGAATCAGTTTAGCCCTTTTTACCCTAAAATTTCAAACAAAAAACTCATTTGGATCATAGTGCAGTTTCTGTCAGTGGCATATTTATGACGTACTTCATCAGTTTCATTTCAACAGTCAATTCTAACGGTCTGTACTGCATTTAAAATGCACTGCGCCACACCAATATACTCAAAAGTGCTGGGTTTAATAAAGAAAAGGCTGAGAAGGCAGGCCAGATCTCCAGACGGCAAGGTCAATCTGAGTCCTTTAGAATGACTTGTAAAATACCTGTCTTTCACGGTTTGAGAAATAGTCGTGTCTTACTAAACAAAAATAACAACAACAACAACAACAACGGCAACCATAATGAAATAAAACACACACACTAGCGTAATTTCGTGAACAACTGCAATCCCACAAAAAAGGTTTTTATTTTTCTTTATTCAGGCAATCAGACAGACACGTCCATTCACTGATTCATTTTATTCTTTCCCTGTTGGTTTTTAATAGCTGGTGCCTAGACAATTCTCTATATGCCGCAGAAAGAGAGAAAAAAGCTAAACACGTTGCCACTCTCCCACCTACAAAACTTGCCACAGATATATTGGATTCCTAAACCTCACAAGACACCGTACAAGGCAAGATTTATTGCAGGTTCAAGTTCATGCACTACAACTAGGCTCTCTAAATTAATTACTGAGTGTCTTAAACTGGTCCGCACCCACTGCACCGCTTACTGCAAGACGATTCGTGTAAGGACAGGTGTTAACTGCATGTGGATCATCAATAATTCGTTGGACGTTTTCCGTGTACTGGAGAACAAACAGCTTTCCCTAAATCATGTGAGGACTTGGGACTTTTCGACTCTTTATACTAGCCTTCCACACGCCCAACTTAAAAAGCAACTCCATGATCTTTTGGAAAGAGTTTTTAATACTAAAGGAAAGAGCTTCATTGCTACCAATAATTTTCGCACCTTCTGGACGAATGATAGAACGTCAACTAGCCTGTTCCAAGCGTTCAGTTCCAAGCGTTCAGATAGTGGAGAGCGGTGTGAAGTAAAGAAAGCGATTAAAAGTAGAGGGGGACTGGGGAGAGAGGTGCGGGAACCCTCTCTCACCTCTCCCCCTCCCTCGCTTTTATTTTTTCGCGCTCTTTTTTACTTCGCACCGCTCCCCACTATCTGAACGCCTGGAACAGGCTAAACGTCAACGAGGTACACGTACTTCTCCTGTAGAGAGCTTTGTCTCGCTATTGACTTTCTTATCGACAACATCTACGTTCGTTTTGGAAGCTCTGTTTTCCGGCAGGTTATTGGTATACCAATGGGCACCAACAGTTCACCTCTATTGGCTGATCTCTTCCTTCATACCTTCCAGTACGATTTCATGGTCAAAACAATGAAACAGGATATTACAAAAACCATCCAATTCAGCAACACCGATCATTTGTAAATACGCAATTCAGCCTTAGGGCTGCAAAGTATTGGTTATTAATCTATCTATCTATCTATCTATCTATCTATCTATCTATCTATCTATCTATCTATCTATCTATCTATCTATCTATCTATCTATCTTTCTATCTACCTATCTATCTATCTATCTATCTATCTATCTGTTTCGTCTTAGTCCCTCGACTGTGCAAAAACAGACGTTATAAACAAATAGCTTCAAGAAATGTTTGTCCAAAATATCATGTTTTCACGCGCTATTTCACCATTCCATGTACTATTCTATTACCTTATTTTCAGTAACAATTAGGTGAGTCCGCCCAAATAAGAAAACTGACGTCGAATAAGCGACGGTTGGTTTGCGAGACGAGCGGCACAGTCGCGCGGAGAAAAGAACTTGTCAGAGCCACGCGTCCTTCACAAATTGACTCAGAAAAAAATGTCGGAAGACGCGGAGAGCGATATTGCTATTCGTTTTGTCGACGAAAACGACTAAAGAGACATTTCCACTAAAGCAGTGTCAGCGAAATGAAAATTAAAAAAGAATCGCCCTTCCTCTCTTGTATACAAAGCTAACAGTACAGCAGGGAAATCCTTAACACACTGAATATTCTCTCAGGATCATGTATAATTTACAGTTTGAAGAGAGCAATTTCTGATTTAATATTTATTCTTTTATCAGTCTTTTATTATTCAACAAAAATAACACTTGGCGTCCTACTTGCTTTATTGTACAAACGACCGGTTTCAATAATAGACCGGCGAAATTTGTCATTTTAGTAAAGCACTGAGGCTACGACAACCTCGAGTTGAACTGATTTCACGGGTTGTCAGAGAGTCCAACGATTCCCTTTTCCCAGGTGAGCGCCGACTCATTTCGCTTCAATATTCAGGAATGCTCTCGATCTCTGTACGCTTTCATTGCCTTTCGCCCGACATGTTTTGCAAGGCGTTTAGTCATGCGAAACCTCCACGAAACATCCACGCAGCGCGCGAGGTAACTTATCCCGATTCTAAAAATAACTCGAGACGAATTACCTATGGAATAGGGTGTGTATGGGGGATGCCTTCTCTGTCCCCTTTATCCTCTCTTGGTAATTTGATATCACACTCACTTTTGGGAAGTATTAACTTTTAAATGAGACTTCCCTAAACGTGATCAATTGACGCGACGTAACAACGGAGTAACCGATCTACAGACGAAGAGTCGAGCTACTCTTGATGGGCCATTATTTTAAGACAATTAATATTGCCTAGTCCCTCGGCCTCATTATTCCGTGTGACCTTTTCGTTTCGGGTGGCCCGAACGAGTTTTCTCCAGGCTGTTTGTCTCAGATACTCCACCGAAATGAATTGAGTTGACCGAGAAGGCCTGGAAGACGCTGTAGTAAAACAGGGAATAGGCAAATCCTGATATGTTGACATAAGCGCCAGCAGTGCTGTACGTAATTTTTAAATGCCCCGTTAATGTAACATTATGAAGGAAAGTGCCAGTATAAAAAGCATACTGACTTGCAAACGGAGACTTTGAGCAGGTCATGATCTACCTGAATTATTCTTTTCTTCATCATCTGCTATTATAACGGGCTTATTGTACAAGACCCTTCCATGGGTAACGAGTTAACAGTCTTTTGGTGCGACATCGCAGTTGAATTACCACGAGAGGCATTGTGATTCGCAGATGGAGGACCTGGATGCACTTGATTGTCCTTCATACAGAACCTCGCTATAAATGGGCAGAATTTCCTGATATATCGACAAAACCCTAAACGGTATTCTTGCAATATTGTACCATACACGACTGGATTTGTGGAGCTGTGGATGTAAAGTAAGAACTCACTGAAAACCAAAGCGTCGTTGAAATGCTTGAAATCAGCACCGCTTCCAAAGTCTAACCAAAGCCACAAAATTTGTTTTGGCAACATAAATACCGCAAACAAGATGACTATGGTCCGCAGATTTTTGTTAATTTTTGCGTTCTCCTTGCGTCTTCTAAATGTTGCAGCTGTGCGCTGACTTGTTTCAAATTCTGTCGTCTTCATTTTGACGCGGCGCTTCAAGGAAATTCCAATCCTGGCGTAAGCGATTGTGATTACTAAAAGAGGTAGGGCATATTGAAGTAGTACGACAGCGCCTGAGTAGGCCTGCCTCATGAAAGAGGTAGGCCAGTTTTCCCTACACCCTCTTTCCTTATCATACGCGACTATTATCAGGGGCGAAACACACACCAATCCTGCCAACCAAGTAGACGCGAGGACCCAGGGAACTTGTGAGACCGCAAGCCTTGGGCTGAGGGGTTTCACGATTGTGCGCTCGCGTTCGATAGCCATACAGGTCAACGTAAAGATGCTGGCAAATAAACACATTGTCATAAGAGGCCAGATTCCTTTGCAGAGCAACAGACCGAATGGAAATGTTTCGAACTTCAAAAAGAAGTCGACGGAGATGCTTATTGTGAGCATGCAAAGGTCAGTTATTGCTAGATTCAGGATGAAATAGTCGTTGATCTTCCGGTTCGTTTTCTTGCCTCGAACAACGAGTACGACAAGGATGTTGCCAATAACTCCAAACAGAAGAATCAATGGGTACATTACTAGCTGAACATAATCTATTGGATCAAATAACTGCACTTTTTTTCCCTTGATGTCGTTCGGCATTTTTGCACCTGAGTCTTGAGGCCGGGGAATGGGTCCTTTCTGTTCTTGAGGTTACTACTGATGACTAGAAACTGAAAAACATAAGAAATATTAAAATAAAATATGACGGATTAGTTGAAAGGAAAATTAGTCTACGAGTAAACAGGATCTTTTGCGAGAGAATGAGTCATTCGAGATTCAAAGATAACAGTGAGGTGTGCAGGAGGGATACAGGTCAGGCTGGGAATAGTGTTCTGCTCGATTTATGTCTTATTAGTGACGAATTGAAGGAGTACCGTTTAAGGGATAACACGTACCCGAGTCACAAATCGCGCCATGTAAGGGAATCCAAGACGTCTTGGATTCTGGATTCCACTCCTTGAATTCCGGAATCCAGGTAATGGGTTCCGGATCTTTGTCAGTGGAACTTGGATTCCTGATCCCAATTATTTGAGGGATTCCGGATTCTAAACCCCAGGGTTGTGGACTACACAAGCAAAAATTTCCCGAATTTCCTTTTATGGCCAGTGCGGCACCAACCGGCCCCGACGGTAAAAATTTCGTCCCCCAAACCGTTTTCAAGAAGTGACATTTCGGATTTAGCCATAAAATTCCAAGCTTATAGGCGACAACAGCCACAGCTAATTTGGACCTGTAACCTTAATTCCAGCAGATCTGTTATATAATGTCTTTTATAATTTTTGTAGGATCTCTATTGATATCTTTTAGACCAGTAGAAGCCGTTATTTAAGTTTTCACTGCTCTTTGCTAACTTGCGTCATTTCCGTGGAAAACTGCGCCAACGCATTCAAAAACGAAAGTGGGGCCGGCGGGGGAGGATTACTATATAATTGATGTACGTAGGGTTAAAGAGATAATCTTTCGTTAATTCTGATATTTTTTCATAACGTTATTAACATCCCCTTTATTTCTAACATATCGTAAAAAGAAGACGAAGAAGAAGAACGTTTTGTTGATTATATGTATTTCTAACTGTAAGGTTCCACTCCAACGATCCTGGCGTTGTTATAATTCCGATAATTTAAAATTTTTCTTTCGGATATGTAAGTTTAGTTACAATAGAACAATTATTCGCCTCCCATATCATGATTCAGTGAATATTGGCAGGAAACATACCATATTTACTTCAAGATGACTTCTGACTTTGTGCTCGGAAGGGAATTAGAATCGGAATCTGATTCCAGGTGCATTTTATTTTAAAAGAAAATAAGGACAAATCACTGCGAAATCAAACATAAAAATTGATGTTTCGTTTCTCGAGTAGATCAAGAACCGATCACTTCAAGGCCTGTTTCGTAGTAAATTCACTGCAACACAAATGCTTTATGATATTTTAGTTTGCTATGACCCTTCGTTTATGAAAATTAAGTATTTTGTACAACTGAGTGACATTTTTGCTCGGAAATCAACTGACATTTAGACCTGAAAAGCAATAATAAAATCATGCTGGTCACAAAAATGAAAATGTAAAAAAAGGATGGCATGTGGAAGTTTCCTGTTGTCAGTAGTATTATCAATACTAAATATGATGGTTTTCAACAGGTCAGTAAAGAAAAAAATGTTAAGCTCGTCGATCCACCCTGAGATAAATAAACTTCGCTACAGCATCAGCTTCAGCTGTTGTAGAGCGAAGTTGTCGCTCTTTCATTTTATCAATTATTTTTCTTTCTGTAGCTAATTAACTTGAGTCAGTTGATATGGGGCCGAAACAATTGGTTAAAGAAGAAAAAGAACAATTTCATAGCAACGGACATAACGCCACGAGCATCATTGCCTTTGTCAAAATCGGTTATGTTCTTACAACGTTTCACTTTAATACTTAAGAAGTAACTCCTTCGAAAAAATTCTTTGGCCACCTACCTTCTCAATTCCACAAAGCTAAAGCCAATTGCAAGTATGCAAGGACGCGCTGAAAGACACCAAACGTATATATTTATTTCCAAAAATGCGCAAGCTCATTTGATTCAAGTCCATATATTTTCACAGTCGCGACGCGAAAGAAGCCTGTATTTACTCACTAGCCAGATGCCAGAAACCAAATACCTTGTGATTTGATACGAAGAATCTGTACTGTTGAGTCGTTTAAAGCCTTGCACAAAAGAGTGCGGAAAATAAAACAAGAACAAAATTCATATTAATATTTCCTTTTTTTTCCTACCTGTTTAGTATTTATTTATCGAATGGTTTTCATGTGATTACGAAACTATACAAATTAGGTGATCAATTGAAAACAAACAAAAAGTAATCTATTTTTTGCCGGTAATGTTTTGTTTTCTGAACATAAATTTATAACCTACCTCGAATTAGGATAAACCCAAATCAATTTCGTTCAGACAATAAAACGTAGTACTTACGTCTTCTTGACAATTTCAACGCAATCAATAATTTCCATTCTGTCTGATCTCTTATTTGTTCTCAGCAACATATATGTCTTATCAGCAAGTTTAGTAATTTTATGCGCTAAAAAATAAGAGTGTACAATCGAATCCAAAGCGGCAGATCAGGTTAACTGCTAATGGTAGGCGTATAATTTTTCCTTTCTTCGTGTGAGGTATGCACTGGTTCACATAGAGTCATAAGCAATGAAAGATTATGAAAATGGGACATGATGACAAGATTTTAACAGATCGATTTTTTACATGTCAATCAATAAATATTAACTTGCCGGATTATGATTTCAGTTTTGTCTTATGACGCATTGCAGAAGATTTACAGGCTTAATATTAAATGGAATAAAAGTAATTCTTTTAGTTCAACTATTCTTGTAAAAGTTTCTTGATACTAATTAAAACAAAAAGAAAATGAAAAAAGAGCTACCAAGAAAGTGGTCAACAGTGTTTTAATAACAAGCGTCTAGTTAAGATGGAAGAGAAGGCTGCAATCAATGCAGCGCAAACAATAACACGGTATTACATAACGTCAATAAAAAAAAAACTGAATTTGAAATTGAACGTGAAATAGTCGTCCTGTAGGCCTACTCTGACGCAACTGTTTTAGCGGACACGCCTACGTGAAGGTGGATTATTAATTGGGGGCTTAAGCAACAACTACGGCGACGGCTACGAACACGTCGCTCTAAAAGTGAAGTCGCGCTGCTTCAAACTTTATCGCGCTTAGCCCATCTCTTTCAATTTGTCAAATGTTGGCAATTTTTTTCGGAGTTCTATTCTAAAAGACTGTATCAAAGTTCAGGAAAAGAAAGAGAAAGTCGTGGTTCTGCGTTCACGTCCTCCACGAAACGTGAATAGGCATTTTCACGTCGTGATAGTAGTGCAGTAACGGCAAAGAAATGTACAAAAAAGCGTGATGCACGTGCAAAGTTGTTGTTTTGCGTAATAAACCTATTGCTTTTTTGCCGTTCTCGTTGACGTCGCCGTCGTCGTTGCTTAAGCTCCCTATTAAAAAGCTAATCCTGACCCCCACCCCGTTTAGATACTATTTGTTACAACATTTGGGAAGGATATACAGTACTCGTCAAATTTCGTTGCAACGGCTGGGCTTTACTCTGACATTAACGATTTTTCACAGTGCCGGATCCAGGCCTTGAGATAAGGAGGGGGCGGTCATCCAGACCCTTAGATAAGGGGGGGGGGGGGGGGGGGGCAAAAAAAAATTTTTTTGGTCCTTTTTGCCCCGGTTTTGCTAAAAAAAAAGGGGGGGGGGGGGTTCCCCGGGCCCCCCCCCGGGAACCCCCAACACGTTGTTTATAGGCGGCCTTTTTCCCCTCCCAGCTGCGGACCCCCGAGCACAGGGCACCAACTTTACAAAGCTTCCGCTGAACACAGTAGGTCAACAGAACCCAAGGAGGGGGGGGGGGGGGTGGTCAAACGAAAATTTTTTCGGTCCTTTGTGCCTCAGTTTGCTCTAAAAATAAGGGAGTGGCTGAGTTCCCCGGGCCCCTCCCCTGGATCCGCCACTAGCTGTTTCATAGCAGGCCTTCTTAACCATGCGCATCGTGTAACGCAAGCACGAGGAACCAACTTATCAACAGTTCCTGTGAACCAGTGATTGGAACAGAGTCTCTCTTTTCCCATGACCTTTTTCCACTTATAACGTAAAGGAACCACGCGATTTAGCCTCAGCATTCCCTCGCCATCTGGACGGGGGTGACAGCTCTAACAAGGGCTGTTTCGGGAGAAAAACAAATTTGTTCCGGGAATCTGGAGATTTTGCAGTGAATCGGGAAACCTGGGAAATTTTTCGGGAAATATGAGATATTTTCGGGACATTGAACAAAGATTTAATATTACATGTTATCAAACAATATGTATACAGTGATATGCACCCTGTGCCGATACGCTGTATTCTATGTATTTTGACACTTGAAAACGGCTTAACTCCCCATGATATGAAAAGACCAATCCGCAACGTTTCCAACTAAAATAGCATGAAGTTCGAGTGCGACTGACCACGTGCAATCCCCAGCGAATTGACACAAGAACCGTATCGGTGCAAGGCACATACTATCAGTTCACACCAGATCCCACCATTCATTAGTTCAGGGGTATTTTTACGCTTCATGTTAACGAGTTTTAAGAGCACATTCCACTGATTGCATACTGGAAAACTTGAGAAAAGTACGTTAGAAGTACGAAAGAAAAAAACGAAACTCATTTAACCTTGTTAAACGCACATGAGGCCATAAAAAGTAGTATGTCTGTGAAGACTCTTTAATCATCCTGATCTCGTCGGGGTCCTTCCGATTTTGCTCGAAAATTCCGAGTCCCGATCAATATGCGTTCGGAATAGGAAAATTCCAGATTGCGACAGTTGTTCCGAAATTTTCAAATGAATTCTTATGATACTCATACAATGACACCACACAGAGTATACTTAGCTGAAAGTGATATCCAGGAGCAATTTCAAAAACTGCACAACTTGTATAAAATAAAATCGACTACCTCTACGCGAAGTCACGCCAATAAAAATAAGCATAAAAAGGACAATTGATTTAGAGAACATTTTGGACAGAATTTGCCCCCTCAGAACACTAGAAATGGCATTTCAGAGCACCAAGATTTCCAAATTTTCTGGGGGAGCATGCCCCCAGACCGCCCTAGTGGTTGGCCCCTTCAGCGCTCGCCTGATTCGTCGGTGATTAAAAAACAAAAATACACGATTTTATATACTTAAAAAGTTTGACAGCCTTTCTGTGTTAACATGATACCCTCTAACGAAAAAATAACTAAGGTTGGATAATTAACAAGTTACATAATTAACAAGAAGCTGCTAATCAAAATTTTAATTTTAATTGTTAAAACAATTTTAGGAAGTTAAACATTTATGGGGAATGCTACCGAAAAATTCGGGAGGGTCGACGAAATTTCCGGGAGGACATAAAGTTATTCATAGGACTGCCCAAACAGCCTTTGTTAGAGTTGTCACCCCCCGTATCTGGCCCTAAGTTGGTCAAAAGATGCATAGTCTCAGGATAGTCTTATCCACTACCTAAAGAATCACTGGGTTACACTGCACCCACCTGGGGTTTAAACGATTCTGGTAGTGAGTGGATAAATAACTATCCAGTGGATATGACAATTGGTTTCCTTAAAAGTTATCCACTGGCAGGAGTCCATTTGATGGGCTCCTGCCACAGGGTAGTGATTAATTCGACGTATAGCGCTGTCAAACTGTTGAACAACTGGCGCTTGAGTTTTGAACACTTCATGGAAAACGGAAGAGGACGCAGGACATACTGACGGCTATATTCCATGCAGCTTCAGTCAGTCTGGTTTATAAAAGCGCCTTGACAGTACGTATAACTTTATATTCAAATTGTGCTTTCATATTTATTTCTTGGAGAGTTCTAATGCTTTCACTTATATCGTGTCTTATACACGGCTGTTTATTTGTTTGTTCTTGAAAGATTCTAATAATTCTAGAAAGTAATTAAAAAAAGCCCTAGAATTTAATGTTTTTAACATTAAATAACCAAAACCGTTTTCAGTGGTGCAATGCCTGTCTACGAATTGACAATCATTGGCCAACTGCTCAACGGTGATCGATAAGGATATCCACCTAGCCCCAGTTCTTCAAACGTTGGATAGCGCTTTCCACCGGATAAATCACTATCCAGCGGATAAGTATTAGGGAAACCAATTACGCTATCCGCTAGATAGTAATTTATCCGGTGGATAGCGCTATCCAACGTTTGAAGAACTGGGGCCTGCTCATTAACTCATTCTTCCCCGAACCGTTAGTAACCACCAGTTCGGATCCAGGCCCCTTTTACTGGACAAGACGATAATCAGGAGGCTTTTACACTCATAAATAATCGGGACTAGCTAGTTAGCGATTCCTTCGTAGTTGAGTACGAAACTGGCTTTATGAAAGTAGTTAAAGCAAAATATAATGTAATAGTTGGTAGGGATCAGAATTTTTAAAAACTCCTTTTACAAGAAGATCTGGAATGAGATACTATCCCAGAGTTGACCAAGGAGTTGATGCGTGTGCTTCATTGCTGATAATTAGTGTTGACCCCGACACCTACCATGCGGTAGGGTTGAAGGGGGTCTAGGCCGTTTTAAGCATTGGGTCTAAATATGGGTTTCAGTGGGAGTTGGGCAGGCTACTGGGTCATAAATGAAACGAAGAATGAGTGAGATATATATAGACTGGAGAGGTGTTCAGAAATAAGTTTGTACTTGTGATGTCTGGTAAGTTGTTCGGAATTTAAGAAAGAAGGAGTGTTGATCGGGAATCCAGAATGTCAATCGACACTTCTCCTTTTCAGTCCTTTAGATCTTCAGAGCTCATTAACTATCTTTCCTTCGACCACAGCGATTGTGGTTCTAGTATACAAACCCTGTTTAGATAATAGCGATCGTGGTTCTCATTAGTCAATCGATAATCTCACACTTGCAACCATAAAGATCTTCATTCTCAATCACCGACTGAAAAATTCAATTATAGCGATAGTGATCTTGATCATCAATCGAGCATTAGGCGTACCACCTTTGAATGGCCTCACATATTATGGGCTTAGACGTTTTTCATTGCAGTGCAGCAGTTTTTTAAGGTCTCAGTGCCCCATTCAAAGTTCTCCAATCTTTTTCCAATGGTACAGTCCAAGTCAGCCAAATCCAATTCCAAGGCAAAAAATCGGCAAATCACAGAAGAATAAAAATAAATTACTACAACACTGAGCACAAAACAGACGGAAGCCTCGCGAGTGCTCGTAGAATAATTGTAATGCATAACAGTAATTACTCAGACTTCATCATTTTTCTTTCAAAAAAAAAAAAAAATGCACGGGATCGATTTATTTACACAAAACAAGCCTTTTAATGACCAAACACTATCAAAACAAACTAAAAACGCTAATTTCTCTTCCGACTGAATTGGAGAAATAAAGTTGTGATCTCCTTAAAAAAATGGTTGGTAATTACACTCTGTCTGCGGATAACTCTTAAGTTTCTTTTCACCACAACAAGTAATTTTTCAGTCCTATTTCCTAGAGGTTGTTATTGTTGAAACACAAATATTTTGGGTCTGCATGAAAAGGGAATATGCTACTTACAAAAACAGTACGTTGGTTTCTAGCTTAAAAAGCATTGTGTTCATCATGAGCGTTAAAACATTCAGAACATTCTCCTTTATCCACTCACTCAATGTTTGTCCAATCCCTCCTCTGAATTACAAAGAATTACCTCCTCTTTTTCACCCAACTTTGTCCTCAAGCGATGGAAGTGCAAACGAACTCTACTCTCAAGTGATAGACTGAGTGTCACTCGTAGTTATTACAAAAGGAATATCCCTGGTTACAACGATCTCTGGTTGATTTTCCGGCGGCTGTAGCAGATTTGAACAGCTGCAACAAAGGCTGTTGTTGCCGCTGTTCTTTGAGCTCTGAAGCCTTGCAAGTAAATTCTCCCGTGAAGGACACGCTGAAAAGTCCACTGATTTTCCCATTCTGCTCAACCGTTGAGAAGCTACTGATTCCATAACGTGTCGCATTTCTGGATATTCGTCCACGACTTCCCTAAAATCCTCGGCGTGTAAAATGTAGATGTCACAAACACTTTTTGCTTCGATTGTTGCCGTGCGTCTTGCATTAGTCAACAGACAAATTTCTAAGGCAAAAGAGGGAGGAAAAAAACAGCAAAAGTAAAACAACGGTAACCTAGCTGTTAAAAATAAGATAAACTCAAAAAAAAAATCTAAAATAAGATGCTGATGTTAACTCGTGATGAGACAAATATCATTACAACACGATATAGGTCGAGCATTACCAAGATGCTACGTTCTATAAGCTTTAACTAGGCAATAATTGTCAGAATGTTATTGGTTTTTAATTTGGCAGTAAAGCACATTTTATTATAAAAGTGATATATTAGATTTGAAATATGTTTTGCCGCAAACCTGTGCAAATAGTGATTTCATTGATTATCCAAAATAAATTAAATACAAATTAATTTGTACGTCAAATAATGCCAATACAGTGGGGCGTTTGGAAAATCTCTGCAGAAAGAAAATTATGTACATTTTTGGAAAAGAAAATTATCGTGTTTTCAGATCTATTGTGATGGTCGATAAACAAACTGTACTTTTGTAGAAAAGAAAAAAAAATGTAACTTATTCAATTTGAGTTAAAATGCTGCTTTCGTTCTGTCTTCCTGTCTATCAGTGTGTCTGTCTGTCTGTCTGTCTGTCAGTCTGTCAGTCTGTCTTTTTTTCCATACAGTCATTTTTTTCTGAGACAGAGACAGAGGTGTCCGTTAAAAGAGAATCGACCGTATATATCCTACTGGTTAGCCTATCGAAAACTCACCTCCGAAATATGAGCCATCAGTCAAGTCGTCAGTGGTTTGTCCGTCACAGCTCACGCTTACCACACCCGATTTCAAGAAATACATCTCCGTACCCAGCTCCCCTTCGCGAATGATGACGTCACCTTCCAAATAGACTTCAAACTCGAGCTTGGTTATTATAGCGGTCACAAAGTCCGGGTCAGCGTCGAAGAAAAACGGTACGGCGCGCACGAGGTCTCGGCAGTTGTAATTGACAATTGACTGCCAAAAGAGAAAAGTAAAACAGTCTTAGCCTGCCTAGCTGGCGGTATTGTGTAGAAGTCGACTGAGATTTGGCGGCGAAGCCGTCACAAGCGGTACTTTAATTGCTTACCGAGACAATACCGCCAGCTACACAGGCCAAAACAGTCTAGGTAAACACGATGATGTTAAACTTACTTGTGACGAAATTGTACAGGGCACTACAAAGAATCGATCAAATCAGTGAAATCTCTAGGCCATATGATCGTAACTTCTAATGTACTAGTGATTACAAATTGTAAGTATAAAACTGCCAGCAGATGCTGGACAATAAAACATCAACTGAGAAACGATAAACTGGGAGAAGCATTGCTTATTATAGAACCTTTATCAGATTAATTAATAGATGTGGGAAACAGGGTTACAAGAGAGAATCCTAAAATCATGAGTTCTTTTACGGGACACCCAAGGAACCAGAGAAGACCCAAAGACAGGAGCCCCTGCAAAAAGATTAGTTAATTTGCTGCTCGCCTGCCGGGGGCTCACAGCAATTAGACATCTCGCACGAAGACTAGAGTTACAATCATGTTCAAAGTTATTATTAGTCTCAAAACTACCGCTGAGGTTTTTTGAAAACCTCTTTGGTTGACGGACAAGCTTTGACATGTGTGCCCTTAAGATTAATCCTTTAGCCAACCGTCTTAAACTGACAGCAGACTTGTTCAAAAACAAGCTTTAGACGAAATATCATCATACATCATACGGGTTACGAAACACGATCAATTCAAAATGGTGGTTATTTCCCGAACACCTGTTCATGATAATTTGCAAAAAGTACAGGAACTAGAATGAATTTTACAATTTAGCGATAAAACTGAACTCGTGAATTAATTATTAGCTAACCGCGTTGTTGCAATGCGGCAAACAATATCTTGTTTTAACTTATTTAATTTTTTCTTTGTTAAAATATACTGCACATATATACCCTAGCCTTAGCTTTTTACAATATTTTTAAAATCCTCTTAATTTTCATTACGTGATTATAAATAATTTCAGTGGCGAATCCAGGGTGGGGCCCCGGGGGCCCGGGCCCCCTCCTTATTATTAGACCAAACTGAGGCCCGGAGGGTCGAATAAATTTTTTTCGATACCAGGACCCCCCTTTTCTCATGGTCTGGATGACCGGGGCCCCCTTTATCTGAAGGTCTTGGATGCGCCACTGAATTATGTAAATAGTTTTTATCATTGAGATATCCTGAAGTGATATAATAAAGTTATCTTATCTTATGTTATCTTTCCAAAGCATCCTTTTTATGCTCCTCAAGTATAGCAATTCCAATGAATTAGCTGTTACCGCGGTGTTTATCTCCAAGCTCTTCCCCGCCCCCTTTCCCGTCCTCTGCCCATTCCTACTTAACTATCACCCCGCAAGTCTCAACGCGCCCAATAGCGACACTGGTAGATTTTGGAGGGGAAATTTCCTATCTTTCATGGTTGTGCTTACCTTTCGCAATGGTCGAGACACTTCTGCGAGTATTCTCTCCTCATCAAATAGTTTTCCCTGAAAGCGGTGCTCGTAGTACTTTGTAATTTTATCTCGGAGGGAGACGGGCAGCCGTCTATGAGACATGTATTCTTCAATTTGTTTGAGCTGGTGGTAAAATAGAGATAGTCTCTGAGCATGTGCGAACATAACGTGAAAAATGCAGTTAATAAAAAACATACAAACAAAAGAAAACAACAACAGCAACAACAACGCGCGAGGCTGTGTCGTCTTTGCGATGGAAAACTAACCAAGTGATATTTCATAAAAGGAATCCAGAAAACCGTGGTTGACTTACTATGGCAAGTAAAACAATGACGATAACGATGACAATGACAATGAAGATGATGGTGATGATGGTGGTGGTGGTGGTACAGGTGGTGGTGATAGTGATCGTGATAATGATGATGATGATGACGATGATGAGCAGTGAATACGGCCCTTACCTTCTCCTTGTAGTTCCGGCCAGGCGAATCCATCGTCTGTATAACGTTGATGGAGTAGGCGATGAACAGAGCGTAAAATGTAGCACCAGTCATCATGCTTGATATCGTAATGCAGGTCTCTGGGATATTTTGAGGCGGATACCTTCCATAACCAATGCATAGCATGTGAGACAATGCCTTGAAAAGCGCCCATAAGTACTTCTCCGTCCACGACTTCTCCTGAAAATAGATAACAGCAACACAATTGTATGCGCTAAATACTTCGCTCTTGCAGGCAAATAAACTAAAACTATTAAATAACTAATGAGAGCTACACTACCGTTCTTATTCTGTTGGTTTTATTTATCTTATCTTATTTTTGAAACATTGATGGATTATAAATTTTAATTAATAGTTTGTCAGCTTTGTAAGTTTGCACCGTAACTGCAAAAACTTTTTAAAAGGAGCCACCCAGCTCGATTTGCTTCTACGCAAAGCAATTGCTGTACATTTTAGGAGAAGCCACAACAGGGTACATTGGTCAGGAAAACAAGAAACGTAGAAAATGTGAATCCTTTGCGGCATTAAGTCGGCGTAACGCAAAGATTTTAAAACACATACCATCACAAACTGGAGCCACGAAGCTCTTAGAAAACTCTATTTTTTTTAATGGCCTTTAAAATCGCACCTGCTGTGAAACTTATATCCTGTGGGGTTCCCTAGGGTCCTACATTAGGTCCTCTGTTATTTCTTATTTACATTAGTGATTTGACTTGTTCTCCTAACCACTAAAAATCTCTCTGCTTTTTTTTGTAGGGCTGGGAAAATTGTTTGGGTGGTTTATCTATTGTTTTCGGTACCCAATAGAACAACTCTTTCCAAGAGCTTCGTGGCGAACCATTAAAAAAACAACAACAACAACTCGACCATGCGCGGCACTGCAACCATATACAGCTGAAAGGAAGCAATAAATAGATTACATGGATCGAAATGGGCCATTTCCGAGTTCCAAAAACTCTCACTTTCAAAACCAAACTAAGTGCAAACCTTTGTTGTGAAAAAATGAGTTTTATTTCAATGACCATAAAAAATCATTTTCAGATCAATGGTTTTGTACTGAGCCTCGCTTTGAAACAGAGGCTTGAGGCAACCCGGAAAAGGCCTATTATACGTACGACAGCAGGCACTAAACTTACCCGTAATCCGTGAATTGTTACCCAAGAGTCATCTGGAAAGTCGTTGAGAACTGGCACGAGATATTGCATGCAGCCATTCCAGTGCGCTACCAACAGCATCAAGCTAATCAGGTTTATAAACCGTATGACAGAGCGCGTTACATTCAGAACCTGTAAACATGTAGAAATAATCCGCAAAACTAATAAATGCAAATTAGGGTCTGCTTTATCATGACCCAAACTAATATCTAAAGCCTGGTTTCTATACATCTCTACGATCGCTGAGAAAAAAAAAAGTTCAGCGATCGCAGCGATCATAGTGATCATATGGAAACCACTTTCCAGCGATCGTAGCGATCTTAGCGTTCGCAGCGACAACGATCGCTGAGATAGAAAAAGTTCTATTTAAGCGATCGTTATTGCTGCGATCGCTGGAAAGTGGTTACCAATTAATATATGATCGCTATGATCGCTGCGATTGCTGAACGTTTTTTTGATCTCGGAGATGGTAGTGATCATATGGAAACCAGGATTAAGTGTACATAGAAGCGCAAAACGGTCTAAGCAGCACTTTTAGTGGCGCCTTCTTCCATGGCCACCACAATAACCTAAGCTTGTATATTTGTTTGTTTCCATTGTTTTTGTGTTACGTCATATTCAAGACTCTCTTGTTACGCCATGGCAACCCAAAACACTCTTTTGCCAAGGTACAATACAATCGGTAGTACACGGGTCACCATGCAACGACATTGCAGAAAACGTGATTAACGCTATCTAAGGTTTAATTTGCAGGTGTCGCTGCGGTTGCGACTAAAGGTGTTAGGGTAGAGGTTCAAGTTAATAAGCTAAAAATCCTACGCGCGTTTTATACTGACATCACAAAACGGTTACTAACTGATCTTGATTAACCTTGTACTCGTCGACCCTTTTGTAAGATGCTAGAGTGAGGAGGTGGGGGAGGGTGCTCTTGGGCCAATATAGGACAGCTGTGTATTGCGAAGGTTCTTAAGCACAATTTCCCTCGGAGTAGAACTTTAAGGTGTGGGTTTCATGTCTTTTCCAGTCATTTTAAGGTAACTGTGTCTTGCAAAGGTTTAATTAACCTCTTTACCTTGTGATTCCGTGTTTGGTTTGGTTAAGTTTTAAGGTAAAGGTAGAGTAACTACATTTTACGTCGATATCTCGTGACAGTAATGAAATCAATAAACTTGAGGTCAACGGTGCGGTTCTTGATAATAAACTTGCGGTCGAGGTGGGTTCTGGGGCCCCCAGACCCCCCCTTTTGTCCTAGATTTTTTTTCTTTTGTAAACGTGTGTCGGATGGAACTTCGAGTTTTGTTACTTAAATATATTTTCTTTAATAAACATTTTTTAATAGGAAAAGAATCTGTGTTCGAAGCCTACATTCATAGTCGCAAATGACCAAAGCTCCCAGAATGCATACAGTTAATATCCGTCTCACACAAACTGGATTGGACAATTTTTCAGGGAGACAATGTTGCCACATTTGCCGGGAGGTTGTGCTCTCGCCGCAATCTCTTCGGCCCCTCTAGCATCATAAAGTGTTAATTACTTCTTTGACCACAAACACACCTGTGGATTTCAGCGTTACATGTTCAATATGGAATCCAGGAATCTGCTAAAATTAAGAGTCCAGAATGCACTAAATTGTATCTCAGAGAACTTCAATCTCAAACATTTTCCTGGAGGAGCATGCGCCCGAACCTCCCTAGTAAAATGCGCCGTTCGAAGTCCTTATGGGCGCTATCACGCCCATATTGCTACTGTATACTATATATCGTATCTCTAGGCCCCCTCCATCGGAGAATCCTCCGTCCGCCCCTGCCTCTCTACATCAATGCTTCCTTTTAAGGGTATTTAAAGCTTTCCAAAGTTACACAGAAAGGAGAGAAGTTAGAACAAGGATGTGATGTCGACGGGGATTGAACTCAGGACCTCGCGCGTGCACCGAAAGGCCGCGCACTAATTAGCCTCCCACGCAGGCGTTTTTAGAGGAGCTGGTATTTCTTCCCTCCCCACAAACGCCGGCTCAACCGAGGACAACATTCCTTTCCCATTGTTATATTCGCGTGGTAAGTAACCAATCAACAGTTTTGAAATAAAGTGTTGACAGGCTAAACACGACTCATAAACTCGTGGTAGTGTAAAAACGTGACCTAGAAAGTGACCCTAGAGTTATCTTTTTCCTTCTTTTCTTTCCTTAGCTAAGGTTATGCAGTGCACGGAGAATTCTAAAATCTGACTGAGTAAATCGCACTTTTGCGGCTCTGAGTCTAACATTTATTAGAGATCATGAAGGTTTCTCAAAGTCCCGCAGATCGCGTAATTATCGGGTTACCCTGCGGTCAAGGTCAACTTTCCAGAATTTGGAAAGTACAACGTGATTGGCGAAGCGTGGGATAGGAATGTTGTCCTCGGTTGAGCAGACGTTTGTGGGGAGGGACGAAATACGAGCTTCCCTGAAAACCCTTGCGTGGGAGGCTACGCACTAACCAACTGTGCCACCCTTAAGGGCAATCAGTCTATTTATTAAGTAGATTCGATTTGATGTAACACTAGCGTTTAACAGAGATTACACAAACCTCTTCATACTGATGAACATAGCGCACCAGACGCGAAATTCGTAACAAGCGAAGTAGACTTAGTAGCTTAGCCATGCGCAGTATACGTAGAGCTCTTGAAGCGCCAAATAATCTTCCGGAACCCGAACTTGTGGCCGACGACACGACGTAATCAAACGGGAAGGAAGATATGAGATCAACTAAAAACCAGGTCTTTGCATATCTGAAAAAAAACGAATATGAATTACTGGGCTAAAAGCGATTGTACAAATTATTCATTTATCAACGACATTGTCAAATGATAAATTTCATTATTTTTCTTGGGAAGCGTTCACACGGCACCTGACTAATTTTCGACCAGTTAAAAGTTCGTGCTCGTTTAGGTGTTAGTGAGAGCGATTTCCGTCGTATGACCTTGAAAAATCCGTTTCGGTAAGTGTTCGTTATTTGTTTTATCACCCAATGGATGAAAAGATCAAAACATGGCCTCTTCGTTGTCCGGCCAAAGAAAACCCTAATATGGAGAAGGCATCGTTCAATTGGCCAATCGTGTTGCGGTATGACGTCAAAGCCAAGAATCGGTTGATTTCTAGAAAGTTCACCCGAGCGTTCGCTTAACCAACCAAACCCCACGCGCGTACCTGTTCGACAAACCAATCAAATCGATCTATTACCTTTTGTTTGTTGTTCTGTTTTGTTCGCGCGTTTTCATTTCAAGGTCATACGAGAATCGTCCTAACAACCTTAACCCCTGCTCCGCCGTCTCTGACAGAGGAATCGCCGGTTAACATTACGGCACTGAGCCATTTTCCCGTTTTTGGCCTTAAAAAAGCGTTTTCGAATTGTCTAAGTGGGGCCTATATCTAAGAAGGCCAAAAGGTAAATCGCCTTGACAGCTTGTGACATATTTTACATAATGGCAGTTTTTCATGCAACATTTGTGGCAATCTATACCCGGACATTCAGCAAAAACAACATCCGGGACATTTTTTTCAAGAAAAGAATAAACTAATGAATATTATGCCAAGTAATGCAAGAGGTGCATCTTTCCAATATTAAATGGAAAGCATGGTACCATAACTGTACAATATCACTAAAGATGAGTAATTTTCTAACGATTCTCGCTCAATTCATGCCAGACTCTTTCTCGAACACTGCACAATTGAGCAAGCGAAAGAGACGCTCTGTTAGTTAAGGAAAATGGTGTTAAAAAATATCTCAACTCTACTTATAATCGAAACAGCGCATAGGGGTGGGAAGTGAAATTTCACGATATTATCATGTTATGATAATAAAAGGTGATGTTACACGAGACGATTTCCAACGACGATTTTTAACGCAACACAGCGTTGCAACATTGTTATGACATTGTTTCGAATGATTACAACGTTGTTCCAACATTGCAGGGCTGTGTTGTGCTAAAAATCGTCGTTGCCAATCGTCCCCTGTAACATCACCTTAACAGTGCATGGCAGCAAGTTTAAAAGGCTTGACGTTTGTCATCTGAAATGAATACTTACTCCTTAATTTAACATGCTGGATTTCATCCTCAGCTAGATGTGTCCATTTATCACATTAGTCGATAAATATTTGATATCTGATAGCCATCAGTACCCACTCACCACTCTTAGTTGCCTTGGCCATTTGTAATTTCAGAGTCATTTCACCCTCTGAGCGTCACGTTTTGCGGTATAGTGTCAAGTGACTTTCAATGTAAACGAACCCCGAAAAATTGGATATCCCTAAACAAAGCATTTTTCCCATGACAAATACACTGCTAATAGTCTTTGAACTTCGAATATCGAATAGAAAGTTCTTACCCACGTACTGTACGTACTCGAACCACGAGTCGCTTTTAAGTCTTTGAAAATCGAATAGAACATCCCTTTTTTATTCACCTAGTCACGAGCTTCCTCTCCCAGATACATTTTCCATCAGTTTAAGTCCTCCAAACTAACCTTTTTAAGGCTAACTAACCTTTAAGAATGTGTGAATGAATTCTTTTGGTTTGACCATTTAATCAAGTCTCTTTAGAGATATGATAATATTGGTTTTCCCTGTATTTTACCCAATGGAATATAGGATTTTTATCAGTTTTCATCGTTGTCTTCTGTTTGAATAAATGTACATTGTCGGGCTCATTGCATATTCTCCTTTTAATTCGAAGATATATAAGAAAAGGCAAAATGGTAACCCGCAAAACTTGAGTTAAAACAAACATGATAAGGAAACTAAAGAGGGACCTAGTGGATATTGACAGACAGTGAAGAGCTGCTAGTAGTTAGTAATCTCTTTCTTTTTAGTATATCCGTCGATTTAATGTTCATTTTTTTTCTTTTTTAATTTTTAATTTTGATTTCATCGAGTTACTGTTTTTCAATTTTACGGCGTCTTCCCAACAGAAGACCATAAGCCAAAGCTAGCAGCAACTTTCATGTACTCGTTTCACAGCGTTTTCATTGACCAGTTCAAGTTAGAATACATTCCAAGTCTCACAAACCAATCAGTAAAATCTACAAACCTCAAAAAGGTATGTTGACCTTTTAATGGACCTTTTCTGTTTTTACATCTTACATTTGGAAGGCCCTAATAGACGGAGCAGAGCTTTCTTTCGCGCGGGAAGAAGTGCTGTAAAATATATCTAGCCTGAGTAACGAGCGTTTCCGTGTGTTTTCGGAGCAAAGAACAAGAAACGAGAGTCAAAGGCCGCACGAAAAATGGTAAGAGTAAAAGAGCAGGAAGGGGGTGGGGAAGAAAGGGAAGGAACAATTCTTGACCGGCCTAAACCGAAAATCCTGTTCCTGGGTCTTTCTTTGTTCCGAAACCAAACGGAAACGCTTGCTACGCAGGCTAAAATATATCTAAAAATAAACTGACCTGTGTAAATGCCGTGACATGGACCTAATGGGAGTTACGTACTCGGGCTTATGGGACCTCATTTTAAGATTTTAAATAGAGTTCGCGAATCCTGTCATCAGGAATATTTAAATTCGTAAGTGGCCAGCGAGAGGTGCTCAGTGTCTCGTAGTGCCGGCGTTGACAGGTGAGCACTGATTTTGTTGTGTTGGGTAGGTGCTTTCAACAGGGTGGAGCCCTATATGGGGGCTTGACAGTATTATAGATGCTAAATCCCGTACTAAAAATTAGATCTTTCGTCTAATCTACAAACCACACCGTGTATCTGCCCTTGCAGCGGTCTATGAAACTTTTGCAAGGACAATAACAGTCTTTTAGATTTTCACTCACCGTACGGCAATTTGCTTAGGATCCAGAATAAACTTGTTTGGTGTGCCGTGAACAATGACTCCTGTTTTAAAGTTCAGTAAAATATCCAGGAGGAACGCTCCATCAGACACGCCATTAAAGCCGATCCACGAAGGGCTAAGGTCGTCGTTAAAGAAGGCAATGGCTACTGGTAATACAAACATGTTCACGATCAACAAGGAGAGAATCATCAGATCCCAGTAGAGTCTAGAATAAAAAAAGTTCATGTGAAGTAAGTGATGGAATGTTTCTCTCGTGTTTTGCCGAGCTGACTAAGTCGTAGTTGGCTATAATAGCCACAAAACACTGACAACATTGACCGTTCCAAACTGTCATAGGAGTCTGTTGTTGAAGAATGTATTTATTTATGAATTAACGGCCTTACTACCTATTCTATTTTAAGCTCAAATAGACTATAAGTACTTTCTATAGTGACTCTTCCACAAACACATATTGACAGAAGACCCCTTTATCCTCCCTTACATACCAAGGCCGTAGCCAGTATGAGGCAAACTGAGGCACTTGCTTCCGTCATTTTTTTTTCCGGGCAAGGAATATTTTTTTTGAAGGAGAAAGAAAGTAACTAGCAGCAAATAAATTAACAAACAGTTAAATAAATAAAAAAAATGTTAACGCAACTTTGTACTATGTTTAATGATAAAGCGAATCAGGCAAGCGGTGGCCTGAATTACAGATGAGAAAAATTAAGCAAAAATTCATGCTAACTAGGCAGCGGCTTCCCCCCAAAATTGCCTCGTTCTCATGTGTTTTGCCGCCATTTCTCGCGTCTTTTTTCTTCTCTAGCGTAAGTGAGAAAAATCTGTCAAAATGCAACGTTCTATCAACAGTCGGAAGCTGTTCGTGCAAGAGCAGCTTTAGCGCTCTCCGCAGGTTGAAGACCTGGTACCGTTGATCGATGGGCTCTAACAGGATCAGGGGCACCCCACGAGAATATAGTTCAAAACCTCTTAAACATAGCATTGTTAAACGTACTTTAGTGTTTAAACGGTAGATATAGACATATTTTTATCCACTAAAAATTTTTTATCTGTTCGGATATCCCAGCTCAAAGTCTAGTGATCGAAAAATTATAGGGATCAAAACTTAGCTTTTCGAAAATTTCAGCCAGAAAAAAGGCTCCCGAAAATTCTAGGTGACCTTTTTAGGTAAAAATCCGTTAAAAGTGGACAATTACACCATTTTTTAGACGTTCAAAAATCATAGGAGAGGCAGGCAAGCAAGAAATTTTACAACAAATGTTCCGAAACTTCTAGATCTCAAATAGTCTTCCGAACAGATATTTTCCAAAAATTGACGTTGGGGGCCCCTGCAGGATGAATGGCCTTGAATTAGCCTACGTCTACAGCGAAATCCCGCACACACAACAAACTCTTCTTTTCAAGAAACCGCTGTCAACCAAGCCTAGTTTAGGTCGTTGTTATCAAAGGCCTTCCTATAGAAACAAGCCGCCAACAAACACATTAAACAGCCGCAAGAATCCAAAGCCCCTAGAGTAGCATTTAAATACCCCCCCCCCCAAAAAAAAAAAAAAATCTCCTAGATCTCAAGATCTAGATGGCTTTTAGGGCTCTTGGCGGAATTTTTGTTCAATAAGGTTTGATCCAAGTGTTTTGTTTAAACGTAGTCATCATAAAGACCCTAATTAGCTAGGCGGGGAATTCATGATCAACCACGGATATTACCTCAGTCCTTATTTTTTCTGGCTAAGACCCTGCATACACTCACAAACTATAAACACTTTGCGATCCATTGTCCTCAAGAAACAGCAGTAAAGAGAGCCACAGTGAAGCATATATTGTCATTTTTTTATGTTTTAAAGCCGTCGATGTACCACAAAAGACTTGCATGCAATGGAAAAGATGTTGTTACATACACAAAACAAAACTAAAAACCAGGAGCCTTTTTTCCGTAAAGTCCTGTTGATTCAAACACACAAAGGATTTTTTTTCTGGAGAAACCCTCCTCATTATCGAGAAGCATATAGCTAAACCCGATTAGGAGAAAATTCATCCATTTATTTGAAAGCCCGTTGGTACAAGCAGTGTTGATCACTGTTAATTAGTTAAGTTTTTCTTTAAACATGTTAGCAAAAACGAATAAAATAAGTAAATATAGATAAATAATAATAATAAATAAATAAATTACTAAATAAAAAATAAAATAATTAAAAATATGACATTCGAACAATATTCTTTGAGAGATTTTCCTTAGCTAGTTATTGTCAGCCGGCTGTTATAGAGATTCTGACTCGTAGAATAACCGTCTATAAGACAAATCAGCTGAGCCGCATTTTTTCTTTCTCAATTTAGTTGGTTGAAAAGGATTATAATATGAGAAATATTTTGCTTTAGGTCAAAAATCACCAGCAATCATTTTAAAGCAGTCACTTTTTTCCGCACAACCTCATAAAAGGGCACCCCTTCTACCACTTCACACTTCCAAAGTCAAGAAAAGCGCGTTAAATTAATTATACGGATTGGGATAAAATAACCCGGGACGTACTTCAAGTTCGTAGTATAGTAATTGTTATCAATTTGCATAGTACGTTCAAACACTTATGAAGGACATAATCGAGAGCTATAGCGTTCAAGATTAAACAATTTTTTTTAATGTGCTGCTGTGAAATGAGATGAAAGACGAACTGATTTTTATCGAAAATATAACAACTTAGAAACTTAATCCCAGGGATTTCTTACCACCATCGGTTTTAAAGAAAAAAAAATAAGTAACAGCTAAAGCAACCCATCTGCAGATAAGTGACTTTGGTAAGCGTCAAAGATAACAGATGCACGAAATTGTTTCCAAAGGATTTTCAGTGACAATTAAAAATTTGCATAACGCATAGTACAAAGCTGGGGGTCAAGAAATCGCTCATGGATTTAAAAACACTTTTCCTGGTCGGAAATTTAAAGTTTCTTTTCTGGAACTATTATTTTGTTTTGGTTCATTACCGTGTACTTGGTTATCCTTCCAAGAGTAAAACAAACATCTTTGGAAGTAATGTCAAAAATCTGCCGTCTAAATTTGGAGTCCAGGAATGAGTACAAATGGCGAAAATACTGTGATTTGTTGTCTCGTACGTTAATGATTAATGACAATTTTTTGGCAGCGGTGCAACTGCTTAATAGCGACTTTAGATTGTCCTGAAAGAGTTCATTAAAATTTAAGATTAAAATGCGGAAATCACCTGAATGAATAAACGAAAACCACGGCGAATCGATTGCAACTACATTTCACCGCCCGTAAAATTTAACTTGTCGTCTACTTATGAAATGGGGTTTGCGGTGATGCGACAAAAAAAAAATGCTCTGTCGTATTTTATATTTAAACATATCTAAAAACATTAACATGACGATTGATCGAGACTTCCTTGATTAATATTTAAAACAGATGATTTCCTTAGAAATAACTGCTATTTTCGTCTTGAAATAATGAAAAAATTAAATTCGGAATCAAAGCGAAGTAAAGGAAAGCGTTATGTCGAAAATAACAGCATTTTTTCTTATCTTTTCTTGAGCAGTAATAAAAAAATAATGTCAATTTCTAACCTGAAGGCACTTGTCGGGTGAATTATCCATCCTGCTTTTTTGTAACGTAAAAGTTCTTCGTCCATTGCTTTTCGACTTCCAAACACTTTTATATTTAATTTGTTGTCCATAGGCTGAAGCCATCCTCGCAATAGGGTATTTATACAAGGTTTCTGCCTGGATCGATGTCGGCCTGAACAGTTTTCTGGTGTTTCAATCTTAATGATAACGTCGCCGTTGGATGATGGGGTGAAATCTTCGGGCGATGTTTGGGCTCGAGGTTTCCTCTTAAGAAATGACAATAATCTCTTACGTTTATTCGAACAATTGTTTTTCCTTTCTGAATTAGTTTCCTGTGGTTTTTCTGTTTTGATATTTGCATCATTATCCACTATATGCCCATTTAAAAGCGGACTGCTGAAACTTGCATCATACTCGCGGAAAACATCGTCGCTTGTTCCAGCCGCATTTTCATCTGACCGCCTGGTTTCGTAAAGCAGTATTTCTTCACGATTGTGAATTCGATCTTCTTCTTGAGTCTTTCCATCGTTCAACGCGTTAAGTGCTTGCAGACTTAGGTGCGAGGACAAAATCGAATTTTCGGTGCCATAGGACCACTGACTGGCCCTTTTTCCTACTGAAGAAATGTCCTTAGTGCCATTTTCCGGTTCAGCATATTGTTCGTCCTCAACTGTCTTCTCAGTAATCGGCACTGTAATCTCGTCACAAGATTGATCAGGTTGAGATTTGCGATCGACAAACGTATCACAAGGTTCATTCTGCCCGTCAGTATCCGTTGGTATCCTGCGAGCATCACTCATTTCTTGAGATGAAGCGAAGATTTGTGATAATTTCTCAGAGCTTTGGCCTTACTCAAACAAATCCTCATTTTTCGAGAAAGTTCAAAATATTCTTCTCTACCCTTAGCTTTTTATCAAACACATTTTACGCCTTTCTGGCACAATCCAAACACCTTTACCTTCAGACTTTAACATGACGTGCGAATGCTGATTGTGACATCACGGATTTGAGCGAATGCTGCGGCAGAATGGCGTTCCTAATAAGCAAATTTCATATCTCACGTTCGATCCGTCATAGCAATCGAAAAAATGTAAAAGTATCGACCGCACATTAAAAGAACGACGAATTCGTGCTATTATCAGCTTCCTTGCCGAGTATCTCGAAGTCATTTAACAACAAGAATAATTATGGCTACAAGAAACTGCCGATCTTTGCTGGCGTTCGAAAAAGCGTTGACTTGGCCAAATGCGCGCGCTGCTGTAAAACAGCGAGGCCAGTAAATCTTGTTTATCCATTTATTCATTCACGTATTTATTTGATTATATTTCTTACATCCTTTTATCGAAATGTGGGATTTTTATGAAGTCCATAGTTCTATATTCTCCCTCAGTTTTACTTTCCTTTTCAAATGCGCGGAAGTAATATTTTGGCCAACGCATTGAAATTGCGCATTGTTTGTGATTTTAGCAAAGTCAATCAAAAGGATAAACTACCAATAAAATTCCTGATTCGAAATCCTTTGATCTTGAGCTCAATGTACTGCAAATTAAACTTCAACATTATTTACATTTCAATAGCCCGCGCCTTCTTCACTGTAGAATTTCAACTCGCAGCTTTTTGCGCGTTTGATCTCCCAAACTTTACTTTTCACGGACTTTGCTTTTAATTTGTTGTTGCTTTGTGCGATGATTGTTGACATTTTCTACCCAAGCGATGCACATAACAATATCTAAATACACAATACTAAATGACTCAAGGCGGATATTGTAATAAGTTATTTTCCCTTTAAAAAGAAGATAATTTTCCGAGACGACAAAGCACTGAATCCGTGGACTCGTCTGTTGATAGATAAATTTGATATCTATCACTTCAATTTCTGTTATTAAAAATATCATTAAGTTAGAAAAAGATATTAAAGGACTTAAAATCTCTCTAAAGAATGGGGCATTTCTTCCCCTATTATGTTTTTTCCTAATTGTATAACACTGACAAGCGAAAAAAGACGATTGGTAGTACACAATTGAGTCAATTCAACAACAAAAGAAGGCAAATTGAATTGAATTCTTGGTCGAGAAAAGAGACCCATATTTTTTAAAAAAATTAATTTTCATAACTATAAATCTCGTTTACTAAAGACACGAAATCCAAAATGCCCTTACGATTTATTTTGAGCGTTCATATTGAATCTTCTAGATTTAATCTAGCAAATTCCTTTTAAATGAACCCATCTCCTTTTCAATAAAAATCTTCATTTATCTAAGCTATCTACCAGCGCGATGGCGCGTAGATATGCAAGGCTGCGGTAAAAAAAAAATGAAAAATGGAGAAAATTTGCATTTTCTTCGCGGACCACGAGCCCCAACTCTGCGATAGATTGTAAACGAATAATCCATACGTACACGCTTTTATTTGAATCCTATTATCCTATTTTCTCTCTTTTATGATCGATTGGCCTTTCTTCCACATCTCCTCTAAAAAAAATCCTCAACGAAAAGAGCTCGTGTGGACGAATGAAAACGGAAATATTCGCAAACGTTTGATTTCACTGTATCTGATTTCTCGCAGGACGAGAATAATCCCGAGATTCACGACGCCCTGCGAAATGACGTCAGAGGAAGAGCGCAGAAATTCCATACTGATGACGTGTCACTACCCAGATCTGGGTAGCGCTTATGGACTATGCAACCCTCAGTTTGAAAAGAACTTTTAGGAACAACATGGATTTAAATTGTAACCTAAGAATTGCATGCAGTACATTCCTTCCAAAAATTAGACGTGTTCGGACTTTTCCTCGTAAAAGACCTCCTACAGTTCAACTCTCTTAAGCGACCACTTTCCGCAAGCGAAAAGGAACTCTTCGAATTTTGAGTGGTCGCTTACGGAGGGTCCAACTGTGTGTCTTACCCCATGTAATTTGAAGTGAAAAGGGGTTTTGACTCAATGGCAGTGGTTAGAACAGAGTTCTATGATCCAAAACAGGCATAAAACAAAACAAAATTTAACGTTGTTGAAATTGATATTTATTCTAGCTTTCTACTCGATGCATCAATTCGCAACTAAATAACTCTATCAAGTTACAGCAGGTAAACGATTACAACAGTAATTAAATATATTCAATTCGTCCCTAAATATATTGTTTGACGACGATGGTAAGAAGTCTTACACTTGCTAAATAGTACATCGATTTCGCATAGGCACACGCTATCATATAGACAGGCTCACTCGTGTAGATTATCCAAGCGATAAAATACATAGCACGGCCTTCTTATATTTTGCCGTAGCAATAAACAGGGAATAATCAATATGAAACGACAAATAACACTATAGAAAAAAAAAGTGACAAAAATAACAAACAGTTCATCAGACTTCCAGAAACCTTTACATATGCGCAAAACTACATTTGCACTTCCTGATATTATTTTCTTGAAATTTTTTAAACAAACAAACGAAAAAAATGGAACTGCAATAACCAATGGGACAAGTACTATTTCTACCTTATGAACATCAACCGACCAATTTCCGGTTCTTCGTATTCAGTCGGAAAAGATTATGACGGCCCTCCAACAGATTCGTCGGTTAATGAAGTAATAGAGAGATTGAGCTTCACATATATGGCAAACGGCAAACGTCAGATTCAGGTTGAGAATTTCTCAAAATAGAAAATAAGCGGGTAAAAACAGCTCAAAACAATTCCTACGGATAAAAAATTGCGCGAAACTACTAATTTTTCATGTGTAGAAATAATGAACAGGAAACGACAAGTAAAGGGGAAACTTGGTCACGTGGTACAAACTAGAGTTTGCCGTTTGACGTAAACGTGATGACGTAACGTCTCTAACGTAAGAAGTAGTCCGCCAAGAAAACAATTCAAAACAAAATTGAATTGGAAGTGCAGTCCTCAAATTTTGCTTGTCCGAGGAAGTTGTATACTTGCCTTGGTTTCCTCATTAGTTACAATAGACTTGAATGGGCCCTTGACCAACGGTCAAGTGATTTCTTTCCCAGAAAGAAAATCTGCTTGTTACAGACTAACAGACAAGACTTTTGTCGAGTCCTGCAGACAGCATGTTTTTTTACTCCACTCAATTGCACGGCCTAGGAAGCGACAAGGAGCGTTGCTGTCACTAACCGGAGTAAGAAATTCCAAGATTTAAACTTGTCTAACCACATGCATGCACCAGTATCCGCACAGAATACGTGCATGTATACAGTTTGTTGTGGCTTATCACTTTTTATTTCTGGGTTCAAGTTTTGTTTTCTGTTGCCGCTTTTTGTACAGGGCAACAATTTAGTCGGACTAATCTAATGACAACAAAACAGAACTTGAACCAAGCACGAAATCAAACCACGATAAAAAGACCATCCTGACAACTGTATCTTCAACAAAGTCCAAACAACATTGTGGATAAGATACGTCTCCATTAAGGTCACACTTTCGACCGATAAAATAATCATTTTAATTAAAAAACGTTTTCATACAAGGCAAGGCGCTCCTGTAACAAAGGGAGTGGTTCATCGTGTGTGAAACGAGTGGCCTCCACCTTGAGGCAGTAATTACTCTTTTCTCTGCATCCCTCAATAGAGCTTTTTCACTCACGTGACCAGCATCTACGCTGATTTATTGGAGCAAAAGAAAACATTTACGTGAGAAAAGAGGTCAACTCCCAGAGGATTTTCTGGGTACACCAACATGGCCGCCGTTTCATTGTCTTGGAACACCAATATGGCCGCCGTGACGTCATGTGAAAACGCTCTATTGCTAAGTACCACCAAGCACCCACATAAGGTGAAAAAACCCTGCAAATTCGTACCGTATCTTTGACTTTTTTTGCACGATTACTGCATGATGGTCAGATTTTGAGACAGCCTCTTTCGATAAATTGCAAAACTCGGGCTCGGCAAACTCTTTAATGTGTAATTAATGCATTAAAAACAAATAATAAAAAAAGATTCCATTGGAGAGGTTAAAATAAGTAAGTACCAGGGGTAAAAAAGAAAGGTTTCAGCATTTACAGCTACGTTTCAAAACCAAAAACAAACAAAAAACAAGAACAAGGACGGCTACAACTGAGTACTCTTAAGTGCGCTAGCCAATAGACTGGACTTTGACTAGATTTATGATTACTCCATGAACGATTCTCATTTTATATTCTCTAATGAACCAGACCTCATTTGCTGTAGTAAACAGAAAAATCCTAATTTAGTCCACATTCCGAGGGGCACTTTCGAGTCGCCAGTGCAAGTAGAAAGCCGCTGGATAGCATGCTATGAGTTATCATGCTCTCGCTACAGCGTTTCCTTTCAAATTTAACTTTTTTTCTTGCTATATAATGAGATAAGTGAGCAGTAAAGTATCGTGCGCCCCTGCTAAAAACACTCAGTTGTCGTTTTCCACAACTCATACAGTCGTAATAACATGATTAGTTGTATCAGAACATTAGAGTAGATATCTAGAGATTTCTGAGTACCCGTGGCGCTATAACATGGACCTCAAGCAACGGTAGATTCATTAACTTTGCGTAGGCGTACTTGACCCCTGTCTCCGTCATCTGTGGAACTGAAGCTGAACTCAACGCGCCCGTCTTGTCTGAAAAAATAAGAAACAAAAAAAGGAGAATTAGAATCAAACTTATAGCAATCCGAAAACAAAAGATTCAAGTGGATAAGTAGGATAAGAGATACATCATCAACACTATTCTTGAATTTTCTTACCTCCAGCAAAAGAAAAAAGAACCTCGATATAACAAAATCTCGTTATAGTGAACAAAACAATTTTGCCAGTTCCTAGACCCTTCGTTTGACCGAGGTTCCACTTTAAAAAACCATCCCATATAATCCTTGTGGATAAACCCGACATGAAAGTCCTTATTTTTAAGTAGATATACGTTAAAACAGAAAACCACAAGTAAAAAGAAAACAACTTGTTAACTTGGTATAAATAGACTTTTGCCATACATGAAAACGTGATTCTAAATAAATGTTTAATTAAGCAGAAAGACAGTGGATAGAAGAATTACACAGCGCTCAAAAGGAAAACGTAGAAGTAGAAGGACCACTTCTACACGTTTCATCAAATTAATCTTCTGCGCTTCCATTAAGGCGTTTAAAACAGAAACAAGCACTTACCTATCAACTGTAAATTTAAGTCAGCAACAATCAGGACAAATAACATGAAAAACAAACAGTGAAGAATAATAAGAACTTGTACAGTATACACTGGCCTGCTATAAATTTAGAACAAAAATAAAGAGAAGGGAAGGAACTGAACAGTGTAAGTAAAGAAACTAAAGAGACATGAAGAAAGAACGGAAGGAATTGAGGGAGGGAGGGAGGGAGGGAGGGAGGAAGGGAGGGAGGAAGGAAGGCAGAGGGGAGGAAGGAAGGGAGGGGAGAGGGAAGGAGGGAAGAAGGGAGGGAAAGAAGGAGGGAAGGAGGGAGGGAGGGAGGGAGGGAGGAAGGACGGAAGGGAGGGAGGGGAGAAGGAGCTGAGGGAGAAGGGAGGAGGCGGGGGACGNAAGGAAGGAAGGAAGGAAGGAAGGAAGGAAGGAAGGAAGGAAGGAAGGAAACAAGGGAGGAACGTTGGGAGAAAGGAAGGGAGGAGGGTAGGGTGGGAGGAAAAGAGAAAGGAAGGAAGGAAGGTAGAGAGGGAGGGAAGCAGGGAGCGGGGAAAGTAAGAACGGAGGGGAGGGGGGGGGGGGGGGGAAGGAAGGAAGGAAGAGCGGGAAAGATAAACTTTCCACATGATTTTTTTCTTCACCTCCTTCTCGCTTCTTCTTCCTCTTCTCTGCGATAAAAATGATCAGGAAAAGCACAATGGCTTCAATGATGATGCCGATAACAGGCCACAGTGGACCCAGAGGATCTGAAAACAAAATCAGAGCTTCAATAAGCGAAACTGTGTCAGTTTGAAACTAAACTGCAATCAGGCGTCCTTTTTTCGCGGATAGAGTCGGCAGACGGGGAAGGACCGCCTGATCGCAGGTTAGTTTGAACCTCGTTGAGCTTCGCTGGTCTGCCGCTCACTTTCTCTTTTTCTCTGTCTTTCTCTTGCTCTATATTCCAAACTTGTGGACATGACAATTTATCTAAGCTTAATACTTTAGACAATACGGATACAGAAACAATTTCCGCTTTCCGTTTTCGTCTTTATTGACACTTTTGTTGTCTCTGCTTTACAAGACGCCGGTGGCTATGTGATTTCCCGACAAAATAACCTCGAGTTGCATTTGGGTTACCATACCTGTTGATCGAGTTATTTTACATTTGTATACCTGTGGTGCGGACGGACGGTCTCTCGGGTGGGCGGTGTACGGTCACGTGATTACCAAATTTTCTCGGATGGGTAGTTTACTTTATTTTCTTACCCATGGTACTCCGCTGGCGCGCTTCGCGCGCGAGAGCTCCGCTAAAAAAATTATGGAGGTCGGTTAGAAGAATTTGTGTGCTGATGTTCTAGGGCTTAATGGATAAGAAACCTTACCTCTAACGCGAAGTACAAAACGCTGGCAGTCTCCCTCTACACTATTCGAGCAGTTCGAGGGAAGGCAACAGTAATAAGATCCACGATCAGAGTACTGCAAGTCAGTCACGGTCAGGAAATAAGGCTCATAAATTCCCTCGCGGTGTATACGGTATTTACCATCTGATCCATCTGTTAGAAATGAAAGGACTGGGTTATCCCTTCGGTATGTCGCTTTTATATGACGTTGAGGAAAGTAAATAGCGACCAATTTCACAACAATCTATCACGACCGGGTAGACTAAAAATAGTCCATTCTTAATTTTCCCTCATAAAAAAAAGGAGAGCAAAATAAAATACGCAAATGTGTATGTGACCATCCCCACCTCTAAGTTTTTTCTTCCTAGGAAAAATTGGGGACTGTTTGATGTCAAAATAATAATTAGAAACACTTTGGGAATCTGCACCTTGCAAGAAAATTTTTCAACAAAATCAATGACTGGTAAACTTACTGATACACGGTGTAATGGCATCTTCCCCTTTCTTCTTAACTTTCCACTCTACCCTCAAAGGGTTACCTTTGGCAGGACACTCGAACGATACACTGTCTCCTTTGAATTTCTTGAATTCAGGATCTTCCTTGTACTTATTCAGCCAAGCAGCAACTAAATGAAAGTGATAAAATGTCTAGAATAAACTTCTCACCCAAAGAGTTATAATTCTTAACAATCACAAAATACATCACCTTTCCTCACTACTCATTGGTAGTCAAGAAGAGTGTCATGTGGGAGAGAAGGTCTACACCTTGAGCTACGACCAAAATCCCATGCTGGTGACGTAAATCAATGTTTTATACATGTACAAAATTGTATAACAAAACATATAATATAATATTATATCTAGTAGTCATGGGGTTCCAAATATTTGCCTCAGTTTATGTTTCTCCTGGTCTAATATTGTAAAGTTTTGACTTCTTCTGCAAAACTTAAATAAAAGTTGTTTTTTTTTTCAATAAACAGATATTCCAAAAATAATGAACTTTCATTATTGACCTTTGCGATTTTTTGTCTATTGTCTGTCACTAGTAAGCAATAGCTACATCACATGTACTACGTCCATGTACAGACTGATGCAGACATTACATCAACTAATCAGAAATCCTAAACAGATTCCAGACAGACTTTACGTCATCACTATGGAATCTCTGTTATTGAGGGACGGACATCTCTCCTGTGGAATGTCCAGCTGGCAGGGGAAAACGAGGGGAGATGGCTGTAATCGCAGTCAAGGGCTAACCCTCCATCAGGGTCAGTGTACAGTGCACTTACTTTCAACCGTGGTGCTATCAGACACATTGTACATTCTGATATTGCGGAGCGCCACTTCCAGAAAGCAGGTGTAGTTTCCTCCATCTCTAACACCAATATTTTTAAGAACAAGCGGCCTAAGGGTGTCTAATGGCTTATTTGGGTCAGGGTTTCTGATACTTTCCAGCAAAATCCCATCTTTGTACCAAGAAATTCTTTTCAATATTGATCCTTTGCCCGGATTTCTAGTCAGATTGCATGAGAATGTGGTGCTCTCACCCTGCCTCAACACACTGATTTGAGGCACTTTCACTGATGGAATTTCGTCTCCTAAAGAGAAAAAAAGCAAATAAAAAGGGAAGAATGCATGAAGCTATAATTTCTGTCCATTGCCTCCAATACATTATCCATACATGTAGTTCCAGTGGTTTTAAAACCAGGCAAAAGATACCCCTTTCATGTGCTGTACAGTCAACTTATGGTGACTCAAACCTTCTCCAGAAATCGAAAAAAATTCCAGTTATCAGGAGTACAAGTTATCGGGAGCGAGAAGCAAATAACCAAGCATAAGGAAGTGGGATGGGGAAGGTAATGCAAGTACAGTGTGCATGTATCATGCAAAGTTTACTTCAGGAGCAAGAAAAGTTATAATGGTATTTTGAAAAAGGAATTCAAACAACAAAGCTTGATCACTATATACAGGGCTAGACACTGTAATTGAACTTGACTACAAAAATGTATAAAAGACAAAGAATACATGGTGGACATGGTTGTTTTAAAATAAATTCAATGTTTTTGGACAGCACTGCAACAAATGCTTTTTTTCCTGTTTTTTGTTTCGTTTTTACACTGTGCAGACTTGCTTGTTACATGCCTGGATAAAGAATAAAGGAATCAAAGGGGTTATGTCTTGAAGAAACCAGTACTACTATCAATGTTGTGTTTAAGTCCTTACTTACTCTGCCCTTACCCATACAAAAATACTTTTATAGAGATACGAAAAATAATCAAACAAATCCTATCAGGGACGACAAACCATGCTACGATAGCTATTACTATTTTTGGTGATTTTTGGAGGTGTAGTATTAAAACTTGAAAAAGTTGCCCCAATTTTTTTTAAGATTCAATCCACGTCCATCTTTTCCATCCCTTGCAACAAACAGCAGGAAATAGTTTTAATACCTAATGTACATGTACAGTCCTAAAAAAAGGACCATTTTTGGAATTCAACTGATGCTGAGTCATGTTTTAGCTTTTTAAAGAGACAGCAAATAACATGGCATATGTATAGCCCCTTTAACCCTTTAAATCCCAAGAATGACAACAATCCATTTTCTCCTAACAATAATCATCAATACAAAAGGTTTTGAGATCAATAAAAATATGTTTTGGTCTTTCATCAACTCTCACCTTAAAATAATATTATTTAGGGAAATGTATAGAGACCAGTTTGGAGAATCTGTATGTGGATACTGGGGCTCAGGTGACATGTGTGGCCGAGCAGTTAATACATGTAGCTGGAGGTCTGGCATTCAAGCCTCGCCTGTTGCATTGTTTCCACCTTTAGACAAGGAACTTTACTCCTCTTTCACCCTGGGCCCAGTTGTTTGAAGTCCGATTAGCGCTAACCCAGGGTTAAATTTTAACCCAGGTTTCTTTTTCTTTTGTTCAAAAGTATTTTCCCAGATAATTTCCTCTCTTCTTTTTAGAGCATCCAATCATCAAATTGTTGGCAAAAAGAATAAAACTGAATTTGCTTCTCAAGCTTTCATATCTGAAATCAAATTTCGCCCTAACCCTGGGTTAACTTAACCCTTCTTTGAACAACCCGGCCCAGGTGTATAAAATGGGTACCGGCCACATACATTTCTGTACTTCTGGGGGGTAACCCTGTGATGAACTAGCATCCCGTCCAGGGGGAAAGGCAATACTCCTTCAGGCATGCTTCATGCTAATAAAACTGAGATAAGCTCGGGCCAGTTGGGCCTTTGGCTTGTGTGCACTTTTGCTCCCTTTTTAAATTGGGACTGCGAATTTTGAATTTAATTTGAGAATTAACCGCATGTGAGACGTGACGTCTGAATCATTAAATTTGACAGTTTAAAATTAAATGCGAATCTGCCGAATCTGTGACTGAGATTCAACTAAGGTAAGACATTTGATTCAGATGTCTCATTTCACATTTGCCGGATATATGTACGGTCAACTCCCTTTACAGCCGACACTGCAGGGACCTTGAGTTAGTGTCCTCATTTGTGAGAGTCAATAATAGCGAGAGGTCATTTCAGTCAAACATCTATGATTTATTTTTGCCTGGGATTTAGCTGCTGTCCGTATATTATGGAGGTGTCCATTATAGCTGGGTGTCCACAACGAAAGAGTTGACTGTATATATCATGCATTAATTATAGAAACTATTATCCATACTGGATAACAAGTTGTTTTAAAGCCTGGGAACAAATTATGAGGTAAAATCGGCACCATTTAATCCCATGTCTGAATCAACTGCCGTACACGTATGTTAATTATTTCAGTTGACTAAAATACATGTGTAGGACTTAAACTCAGCACATGTGAAGTGTAACATTTGAACCAGGCCTTTAAGGCTAAAACAAAACACCTGCTAATACCACAACTACTCAAATGTTTAAAACAATAAAAAAAAAAACATGATAAAAAATATTACAAGTAAAATTAAAAACAATTAAATTGTTATTATTCTACCAACTAGAAGACTTATAATATTAAATTTTGCCTTTCCTTGGCTTTTCAAATTCATGCATCAGTCTCAAGATTCTGTATTTTCCATGTGCATGTAACTTCATTTTCGAAACATCCCGGGGGCAGGGGTTTACCAAACAAAGTTTTATATGGGGAGGCCGTGCCCTGAGGTACTCTGACCCCTCACCATTTGTACAATGTATACCACTTTTGACAGAAAAGTTTCATGTACCCCTTTTCTATTCCTTATGCCCCTTTCACATACATGTACCTCCATGTAATTTACAACTTTGTAAATTTATGCACTGTCTTTTTAAAAAATATGAATAACTTACAAAACCAGAACATTTTCTCAACTTTTTCACAGCCATTAATGTAAAATGCATCTGTTGGCCCTTTTGGCCTTGTTACAGACCAAAATGATAGACTTCGCTACTCCTTCATATGCTTCAACTAAAGAAATCCGTACACTTTCATAATCTCAGCCCTGAAAAACCCCTGCTAACTTGACCTGTTTTTCGTTTTCCTTCAGAGTTTGAGTTATGGCGGTTCTAACTGTAGTTTCTTACATGTACATGTACTTACATCAATAGAATGATAGTTAAATAATTGTAACAGACAAGCAAGCAAACTGATAATCCCACTTTTTGCAACCCTTTGATATTGGTACATGTATAACTGCAATACTGTACATACATGTACAGTGTAAAAATCACAACAAATGACTCACTAATGGCGAATTTTAGTAGCCACAATTAATTAATGTAATTTTTACCTTGGATGGTAATCATAATTTACAGTATGAAGAACCTGAAGACAAGTTTTAACATACACTGTAACAATCACTTAAATTACAGATTACTAATTTCTTACAATTTATTAGACAGTGAAAGAAAATACTTAAATTATGACTATTGAGAAAAGGAAAAAAAAGGCTACTAGAGATTATAAGAAATCTATCCTTCCAACAATGTAAGAAACTGATCTCTTACAATCATTATGGATAACTGAATTTGTTTACGATTGATGGATTGTTACCAAAACACTTTCAAACATGATAACAATTATTATTGTACAAAACATCAACGTACAGTCTACCTTGCACCGGTCACTACAATTGAACCTCCGGATTAATTAAGGTTTCGGGGAAACTGCGTACCTACCCCTCCCCTAACCCAGCATTAATTTTTGCCCTAAGCAGGGTGCAAAGAAAGTCAGTTTTACAGCTTGCCATTCGGGCAAGCTGTAGTTAGCATGTACTAGCCCAAAAGTCATTTCATCTAGCCCCCAAACCCTTTTTGATTAGCAGGATTGATTACAATCCTTCTATAATTTGAATTTGCAAAAATATTAAAAACACTTGCCCGTCGGGCAAGTTAAGAACAAAAATCACTATAACAATTATTCTCTCTCCATTTAACTTCTGAAACATCATCTTGCGATGGCAAAATCTCGGACAAGAATTTGCCGTTGTTACTCTTAAGAGCGGTTATTTGAGTAGTAGTAACTGTTGATTTCACCAGTGTCTGAACTGAAGCAGGCTCTACATGTTCCTTTTGAAAAGCAAGGCTCATGAATGTGAGAATAGGAATCACATCCACCATCATGCAGAGGGTGGCAACGACATTGAACTCCTTCAGGCTTTATCATCACTATTGGATTGAGATTCCATGTAGGCCACAAGAGACTGCCAGGTGCGGTACAGTGTCTCCAGAGTACTATAGAATGAAAACAACCTGATACAGTGTATCAAACAGTTTCTTGAGTTTTAGCTCAGGATGTTCAAAGATCTTCTGAAATTCTGCCAGTGACTGTGACTGGAGGGCAGACTGGTCAAAATGGCGGTACAGAGCAATAAGGATCTCTTTGAATTTTGCCAAATAAGGAGTACCATTAGCCGCTTGGCTTGTGCAAAGCGCAAGCCTGTGAGCCATCCAGTGGATAGACACAAGAAATGGACTATTGTCCTTCATTCATTTTGAAACTTCATTGTTTTTTCCTGTCATGACACTTGCTCCATCGCTGCCGAATCCTGCCATTGTGTGCAAGTTTCTCCTTTCCATTAGCAAGTTAACAGCAGTTGTAATAGTCTCGGTCTTTCCATTCTGAACATTGACGTTTTCTAAAAAGTGCAGTTCTGGTTTAAATTCATTCAATAACTTAACATAAACAACAAGATTTTCATTATTACTGACATCCATTGATTCATCGATTAACAGAGAAAAGAATGGGCTGGCTTCTACTGTAGTTTCTCAATGTTAGACTTCAGAACAGTAGCAATAGCATCTTGCATACCTTCAGCACTTTGATGAGATCGATGGGTAACATTTCCTCCCACTCAAAGATTCTTAACACTTTCGAGGCCAACTTCATCCAGAAAAATGAGCAGTGAGTCGTACTTGGCTGTTGCTATATCCTCCTTGGCCAGCCAGTAGACGGCTCTCATTGCTGTGAGGATGGCTTGCGATTGTGCTCTAAAAACACGGTGCTGTGTGTTGCTGAACGTATCCCTCATAGCTTCTTCATTAACAGCATCCTCATGTTCTTTACAGTCTTTGTCATTGCAGAGTTGAGGTCTTAAAACTTGTACACCGTTCTGCCGATGCAACAGGGTTTGTCTTCTTAGATTTCCGACAAAAAAAGCAGAACATTGCCTTCTTTTCATACAGCAACCAAGTGTGATCTCACAACCAAGTTTGCTGGAAAGTTCGTGATTTTTTTTGGTTTCCTTCGATCCTCATCTGTTTCTTCCTGATTAATACACTGTTCTCCTTCTGTATCATTTTTCTCTGATTCACTCTGGCTTCGATTTGGAGCGAAAAAGCTTTCTAATGTTCGAACACGTTTTTGATGTGACATGTTAAAGATTGCCAGGTGAGTTCACCACGCTTGGTTGAGCATGAGACACACATGTTAAGTAGAGCGTCACTGAAACGTGACTTTAGACTGAACTTTAAACGTGCGATAAAATATACTTTCCATGTTCCGTGTTAGCTTGCAATTTCTGTACTGAACTAAATCTCTTCCTGTGTGCTTCCTTTCGAGTTGTTTCCCTAAATTTTAAGGGACAATTTCAGTTGCAGCGCGGAATTGGTGCAGTGGCGCCGCCTGGCTCAAACCCTGCACATGCATTTTAAAAAAATTGAACTTGAGCCATCAGGTTGCATGCTGCCAAACTAGCTAGAAAGTGTGAAATTAAACATTGGTATGCCTGTGGTGCGGACAGGCGGAAGGTCGGGCGGTCGGTGTACCATCATGTGATTGCCAAATTTTCAAGGATGGATAGATCTTCTAAGCTATGGGGGCTTCGCTCAAAATACAGAATTGAGCCTGTGATCAAATAAAATATCAGCGGAAAACTTCAAAAAAATATGTGACCTCAGTGGGTAGAAAAATGAGCCCAGGATAAAGTCAGGTGATGATGATCAGGGGATGCTCTGGTTTGGCAGCTGTCAATTAACCTTCATTAGAATGGCAAATATTCCTATTGACAGACAGTCGACTTCAAGTGTGAGTAAGACATTTCAGTCCGGCAGTCCGGCTTGCAGTGGGGAAGAAATGCCAGATCGTGTACCTGAGCGGACCTGAGCCCACATTATTAGTTTTCTGATAGTGCGCATGTCCCATTTTGACAGCTGTCAATTGACCTTAATCTGGCTGGCACATATAGTTTTGTTTTTATGTTGAATTGGTAGGTGCGACATATTATATCAGTTTAAATGTAGGGGCAAAATGACTGGTCTTTCATCTGAGTCCATTAGATGGTCATGTGATAATTGTCAGTGGATGTCTGATTTTGAGAGCTGCCAATCTAATCATACTCATACATGTACAGATGGGTAACATAACTGACAAGGTAGTGTCAAGTTGTGCAAGATCTATTGCGACACTTGACATCAGCTTACATGAAGTGTGTGTACAGGTGGGCAGGCGGCGTACGCTATGTCATAACCAAATTTTCTCTGATGGATAGTCTACCAAATTTTGTTACCAATGGTGCTCTGCTGCGCATGCTTTGCACGCATGAGAGCTCCGCTATTATTAGCCTCACTTGCATAAGCAGCAAGACTAATAATTTTTTTCGCCCTGGTGGTGGTGGGGGGGGGGGGGGGGGGGGGGTCATTGGTGTTGCGCAGTTTGTTTTTCAGGAATAATGTTACTTCTTTTTTTGTTGCCATGTGATGAAGAAACAATATTATTTTTTTTTTGTGGCGTGGTGGGGGGGGGGGGGGGGGGTGGAGGTAGTCCCTTATATACAACCTGTAGGCTGTATAGGTATGTGCCGTGCCAAAAGGTTTTTTTTTTTTGGTTTGAAATGGGGAATCAATTTCGACCATTTTGGTCTGAAACAGGGTATGGTTTGTGCCTTCTAGTCTTGAATTGGGTATGTTTTTTGGAAGAATTAGCTACTTCTTCATCATTTGGTGATAAGACCATTTCCCTTTTAATGTTTATACCGACTACAGTGTATGTGCCGTAACAGCTTGTCATGGGCTCCAGTCACATGCCAGGCTCCAGGTCTGAAATACGGTATCACATTTTTGATCAGGTCTGAAATAGGGCAGGGAAAATCACAGATTTTGGTCTGAAATACATGTAGGGTAAGGGTTTCAGGAAGCGTGCTGCACACCGCACCCAATTTTTCAGGAAGTATCCCCCCCCCTACCCCCAGGAATTTTTGGTCCGTTTTTGGGGTCACAAAAAGCAGGCCATTGTGCCAGGCGTTCCTTGTGGAGACTGAGGAAACTGGGACTAAAAAAAAAATTTTAGAGCTTTTCCGAAACGTGTTGGTCCACGAATTCTATCGCTTGAAAGTGTTGATTACTTTGGAGCAAGTGAACACTACTGAGTGGTTGAAAAAAAATAAGAATCTTAACTAGCAAAATTGAGATAATCGGGTGTTGTAAACTTTCACTGTATGCAAATGAGTTTGTGATGAACATGCGATTCATTTTTGGCGAGGATTGAAATGACGTGCCATGTAAATCACTTTTTCGATGTCTGGCAATGATGTAATTTCTCTGGAATCGAGGCCCTTGAATTTTTGTGTATTTATACATGCATATAGCCTGCTACAGGAGAGGTATTTTTGGTCGTCGCTAACACACGTTCTAAATCAATTCAGAAACAAATAACAAGTATCGACGTCGATAAAGACAGTTAGTAGTAAGTACAAAAACCTTTAGCGAGTGAATCAGTCTCCCCAATTGATGAGGCGTGGTGCCTGAGCTATAAGACATGAGACTATTAGAACTGCTATAAAGTCAAAAAATGATCATGCTTATAAAATCACTTATTTGAAACGTACTCTTAACCTGAACTCAATTCCAAAAATGAAGCATTTTCATTAAATATATGATGAGAAAACAAAGGCCAAAGTTGGTATCTACGAGCACTTTTTTGGAAATATTTATGATCACAGGGCTGAAATCTGACGCGATACTTGACAGAAATGTTGCAATTTTCACAACCCGACACGTGATAACGCGTTATGAGTTTCAGGTAAGTCAGGGGAAATTATAGCAAAATTCGGTTACATTCGGCTTCCTCAAATTAACTACGACTGTTTTGATATTTCTAAATAATTTCTATGGCTGTAAAAAGCCTTCTACAGACACATCAGATATATGATCCTCGTAAGGACGATGACAGATAAGGCCGCAGTCTAATGATCTGTTATGCAAATTAGCACGTTACTAAGGCTAAAACAATGTTTACAATGCCATATTGAGAGCACGTCACACAACGAGTTCAAACAAAGATTTTTGTATTTTCTCGCCACTTTCTGTGCTACAGCTGTAGAGATGGAATTTTTTTGTAATGTCCTGTAACTTCAGGCCGTCACAAAAATTCCAAAATATTCCGGGAATTGCCAGGAATTCAATGCATTTTTCCTTTACATCATGTGAATAAACCTGGCAAGTTTCAGCGCACTATTATAAATCCTCATCTTTTTACATCGATTTGCGGTCCAACACAGCGACAAAATTGCCCTTAATTCGCCCTTAATTTTGGTCGCGCTGCACTGTTTTCTCTGTCACCATCTTGAATTCTTACTAGTAAACTGCTGTTCTTATTGTTTGATGTGACACTGATTGGATTGTACATGTACCTGTATATGTGACCCTATTTGGGAAAACCGGGCTTAATGAAATTTGGGTTGAAATGCATTTCAACGCATTTTGAATGCGTTACAACGCATTGAAACGGATTCCAATGATTCTCAATGCATTTACAACGTTTTCCTTCAAAAAATGTTTTTTCAACGTTTTAGAATGTTTTTCCAACGTTGTTCAATGCATTGGCAATGCTTCCAAACGTTTTTTTTTAATGATAAAATTAGTTCCTGAAGTTCAACCCAGGTTGCGAAAAATTATCATTGATTAAAGCCACTGATGATTAGAGAGCATTCTTTGAAAATACAACTTTTTTTCAGGAACAGTAATGATACCTCCATACAACAGTAATATCAACGGGAATAACGACATGAATTCGCAATGGAAAACAAAGGCTTTTACTCTTTGTTCTCGATCGGTTCAAATCAATTTGCATAGAACTTTGATCTTTGTGACATTGCGTGTGCTTAATGTTGTTTCAGGTTGTAACATGTCAAGAGGTAATTGAGAAAAGCATGAAATTACTTTATTGGACTTTCAAATATGGAAATAAAGGAGAGAAGTTTTTGAGAAGTTTCTTAAAACTGTAAGGCTGACTGTTGAGGTCGTGCATTTCTTTTTGTACCTAGCTGGCTAACAGAATTTTGGGGTTGCCAATTATTTGCCCTTTTGTACCTTTGTCAGCAGCGTGCAAGACTGCTTGCACTCGGTTAATTCTCACATCCCTTTCAAAATGTGTGTGTATAAAATGCGAGCCAGCGAGCCATGAAAGCCATGCAGTCCATTGAAGAATCATCGAAAAAAAAAAACACCATAAAAATCGAAAACAGTAATATGGAAAACATTACCTGAACGCTAACCGTTGTAAATAAGTGTTTAACCCTAAAACAGCGCTTAACCCCTAGCCCTAAAATGAGTGCTTATTAAACCCTAATCTAATCTAATTTTCAGGAAATCCAGCTAATTTCTCAAGGAAAACGTTATCAGTGAAAGATTGAACAACAAAATTATTAGCAGCGTGCGACATGTTTGGGTCGCCTTTATTTATAGCTACATAAATCCCATTCTGAAATAAATCTTTTTTTAAAGCATTACCTATTAAACGGTTTCTCAAAGATGATTCAAGCAATTCATTGCATTTTGTTGTGACAAAAAGACTGAACTCGAGATTACAACAATGTATAAAGCACATAAAGCACATTGGGCTATGCTTCCGGCCGACTCGAAAGGGGAAAAAAGGTTTACAGCAAGGAGCCCAAAAGTGTGACCGCTTTTAATTAATTCACATTCTTCCATGTAAACATTAACCAATCAGAAGTCGAGGACAGTTTCCAGCTGGCTTCTGATTGGATTAAATTTGCCATGATGACGGTAGTGTCACGCAATAAGCTTTGATCTGAAAATATTCGTGATTATAAATTTTGACATCTTTGTGACAGCTGACTGGTACAGATAAAAACCATGAATTTTTTGTGAAGAATGTCACGTTTTCAGGTTTTCGCTTTTACGGGCTACAATGTCTAGCGTTTGCCAGGGCGTTCCGAAACTGAACTGGTTGACTTTTTGGAGAATCCCCGAGCATAAAAAAAAACGGGAAACACGGGAGGAAGGAAAAGTCGGTAAATAGTACAACTGCCCCGGTAGAAATTTGGTATATTTTAGTATTTAAATTCAGCGACCATACCAAGCATCTGATATCTGTTAATTTTATAGGGAGCTATCAAACAAGGTAGTCACGAGCACGCACACCGCCGTAACACTGAAAGAACAGCATAAAATAAATTCAGACCTATAACACTTTCGACAACGAGTGCTTTCAAATCTAATTCCCCTCTTCTTTGCCCTCTTTAATAACACAGACTTGCAAACTGAAAATGGAACAAATTATTAATTCCTCGGATCAAACATTTCTCACGCTGTGAAGTTTTAAATGTTTTATCACTTTATTTATGACCGTGGATCTAAATTGTCAAATGATGGAGCGAGGAGATGCCTGACAGTTTGGAGTTTTTGCAACTCAGTTGTTGACAATGTTAGAACGTTTGGTGAATGTTTCCCGTTGCAACGAATTAATGATGTTCCATTTAATGCATTTTCAACATTCGAAAACGTTTTCCGAATGTTTTGAAATGATTTTGAAACAATACTGAACATTTCGTAGTTCCGCTGGAGAACATTGCCAACACTTTCAAATGCATTAAGAATGTTCGCCAATGCATTCCAACATTTCCAAATGCGTTGCGATAAAAAACGGCTCCACGCAATTTTCATTAAGCCAGCTTTTCCCAAATAGGGTCGCATATCTTAGGAAAGATTTACTGGCTACTGCCGGGAATTTAAAGGTAAATGAACAAACTAAGTATAAGTCAGTCCTGATTTTCTTGTTATTCCTAGCTGTCAAGAGAAAGCCAGAAATACGGAATTACTGAATTTTTGAGCCTGCGATATAAATCGGAAATAACACCTTAAGTGTGAAAATTGACACCTCGCATACATGTATCAATTTTCTGAAAGCTCAGCTCTCGCTTGATAAGCCTGTGTAATTTTTATTTTGCAAAGTTCTTAATCATTTGAGAAATAATTTTTGCAAATGGAAGGGTTTATAGCAGATCTAATACCTTAAATAAAGTTCATTATTATTTATTACCATGTTTCTTGTAGAATTAATTGCCTCCTCATTTTTCTATCTAATCTCTTAGCAGGCGAGACCTGAATGCCGCTGTAAGCGCGTTCTTGTTTACAATAAACAATGAACAATGCACAATATAAAATGATGATACACAAAATCATGTTCCTAAAACAAGATAATTGTACAATGTAGAGGTACTTACTTGAAATGACATTGACACTAAATCCATGTTTCCTCTCTAAAGGGTCTCCTTTTGCAAAAGCGTGACACTCGTACCTTCCCAGTAGACCATACGAACTGTCATCATTCAGTGTAACATTCTTTATGGTCATAGTTACAAAGAGCTTTTCGCCTACAGGACAAAGGGTTTTAAGTGTTACAACAATTACTATGCAACTGTACACTACAAATCATAGATTTCCTACATAGTAGGGTAGGATGTGTTTGTAATGTTTATGTTGGTGGTACAGTACAGGCCAGAACTAAGCGCACAAAGCAAACGCGAAACTGACGCAATCGACACATCAGCTCGGACGAGGGTACGTGTCAGCACTGACAAGTGTCTGTGTCAGCTTCGACACGTCAGAAAGAAAAAGATTTTTCTTAATTTGTTCTTCACTGTGATAGCTTTGCTTTGTGGTGCATTGTCGTAAAAAACAAAACAAAACAAATTCTCGAGGTTGAAGAAGCTTGATAGTCGCTCATTCTAAGGAACTTTTCATGAGGGACTTTAGGCGTGATTAATCGAACTAAATTTGGTGACGTGAAAGGTTTTGTTTGTAAAATCGCTTGGCATCCTACTTTTATATGTAATCCCAATTAACTTTGCAACAAGCTTCCATA